TCTCCTGGGGGAGACCCCCACGACCCACATCGATGAGAAGGGGTAAGACCCCCACGACCCACATCGAGAAGAAGGGGTAAGACCCCCTAGCTTTTGCTAATCTGTGACATTATATAGGTCTATTAAGAATTTCACATCATAGATACACGTAGTTAAGATACATTCATTTTTGCCCGTCATGAACTTATAAAGTATGTTTCAGTGGGGCTCCTGGATATATATGTAGATCTATACATACATCTAAACATCTATATCTAAACATCGATATAGGAGCTACCGTCATCTTATGTTCTGAGAAATGTCGATGATATAAAAAGGGTTTGGTGGACACAACAGCAAAAATCTGAAATTAATCTGTTCATATTGGCTCCGACATTTTAAATATCTAGTTAATTTAGATTCATCAGGAAAGAGATATGACGCAACGGATATTTTCGAGGAATTCCAACAATCGACACATTTTTGTCGGAGAGAAAAAAAGGAGAGCTGTCTTTCGCATTTGAAATACATTTGAATTTTTGCGATGCTTTTCAATAAATAACAAAGTGAATGAATCAACCAAGAGTGTTGTCTGTAAAATAAATTAAAACACTCAAAAATGTATCCAAAAAGCCACAAGATGGCACAACAGAGCTTCTAGATCTAAAAAAAAAAGCACATTTCATCATTGGGCTTACACATTGAAAACCCGTTTGTTACGCCCCTGTCAAAGAATAGGCGGGGCTGGTGTAGCTGGCGGCGGCTCAGTACCTCACTTCCGGTCCAGACTTGGTGATACGTACTATACGACGAGTGTTATTAGACATACGTGCAGTCTTACAAAAACTAGACTTATACAGTTAATATATATAGGATAGACGGCTCCCTCTCTAACCTGTCCCCCTCTTCTATCCCTTCACTCCATACTTTATCCGTTCTACTCATTTTCCTTTCTTTTCTTCGTCTGCTGGATAACCGAACTACTCGGTAGCGAAGCGGACGTAAAACCTATCAATCAATCAAATGCATCCTGCACGTTAATTATGTCTTAGATTAATTTATTTTCATCAAAATACATAGGAAGTAATAGTAAATAACCCTTTCACTCATATGTAACTTTAATAAACTCTACTACACATTGATCTTGATAAGTCCATTGTGGTCTACAGTGGTGAAAGGGTTAATAATAACATTTGAAAAAAGATGTGATATTTTGCCGTCCAATTAATAAACATTTTCGTTTACTTTTAAAGCCGGTTTAGATGTCGTAAATAGAATGATACTCTATCCCTACAGTTAGTTTTTACAGAGACGTATAATACACTACGTATACGTCTCTGGTTTTTATAAAGAAACTGTGTCCGATGGGAAAATTGATGTACACACATGTACATGTACTTCCACCGATTTCCTGTTGTACATACTTGTAAGGCAGTGGCTAAGGCTGTTCGCCCGGCAGCCGGCGGGTACCTAAAAGCATAAAGACTATTTTACCCGGTAGCCGGCCGGTACATATGTCAAATGACTCTTCGCCCGGCAGCCGGGTATACCAAAGCACAGAGACTGTTCGCCCGAAAGCCGTGTAATATAATATTGTCGGGTCGTACCCAAATCATTTGTTAAATAAACGTCGCTTCCTCGAAGAAAGCAAAACGTACAATGCAAATGTCGTACTTTTATTCAACGTTAGGGTATTTTATTGCCGTGTACATCATTTACCAGGTCTATCTAATTGTCTTTTAAAGTTCCAGTTGCTTAATTTTAATGATTTCCAGTTATTTTTCCAGTGTCATAGCCGTGTGAATAGTCTTTCGCGTTCTACATCTACATCTACATAGTAATGACCACCTTCATCTATTTGAAGATCATATCATGTGATAGTGGGTGCGTGCTATAGCTAGGCCAAGAGAAGAAAAGATAAAATATTGTGAAAGGGAATATTTATAATGTATGGGAGTTAGAATTGTATTTTTGTTTAGGGACAGTTTAAAGCAGTCAGAAGAGGTAATGCCCCCGGGAAGTTATATCTGGAGGCAGGTTATTCCAGTCTACTATGGTACGAGGAAAGAAGGATTGTTNAGCAAATGCAACAGGTTTGACTGAATGTGATCATCTTTCTCTCTCTATCACTCTTTTTTTTCTCCGACTCTACCTGTGTTACTATCATTTACTTCATTACTCTATCCGTCTTTTCTTCCACTCTATTTTTCATCTACTCTATCTGTGTTACTATCCTTTACTTCGTTTCGCTCTCCTTCTTTTCTTCGTCTCTATTTTCCATTTCCATATAAAAACATAATTAATGTATATTGCGTAAATAACCTTATCAAGTTATTGTTTATACTCATGTATTTGAAGAAAAGGACTTTGATAAGTTGGTAAAACTTGTGTCCAATTCTTTTGTAAATATTTATTTGCAATAAAATATGTTTAAATCAAGGATTGTTGTCGTACCTGTGTTCTACATGAGAGTGTTTGATATGAGTTATCGGTACCCGGCAGCCGGGTAAATAGTCTTACGCGTTTTCGGTACCCGGCAGCCGTGTATCTTTGGTCAGGCAATAATTCCTGTAGGAACTCTATCTAAATCAGAGATTTATAACGATTAGATAGAGTTCCTACAGGAATTAGTCAGGGAAGTGATTGATGATTGCTTAGTGTTCCATTCTTGTCCAGTTATTACGTCCCCGACACACAAAATTCCGAAATTGAGTATTTACTTCCTTTCCATTTTAAATAAAAAAAAATCAATATGACGGGAACTGATTATTATTGAAGAAAAAATAAGTTATGTGAACGGTTTTCCGGTTCCAATATTAACTTCTACGTGTAACTTCCGGTTATACGGTAAACAAAAACTAGAAATCTGGAGAGTCTGCTGTTTGTTAAAAGTGCTTTCGATCGGTCTGAAGTGATCGAGAGAGAACACACCCCTCCGGTGAGATGTAGAAGAAACGCTATTTTCGGCGTAAATATTCATTTTACAAGAAAAGTACGTATATGTGTTATTTGAATCATTCATTTTGAGACAGACTACTGTCACTGTGGTACTAGTAGCTGCGATAACGTAGCTTTTTTTTGTATAGCGTGGGGCAGAGGAGGCCGGGTATTAATATAAATACTATGGCAGTAGAGGATCACATGTTACAGTGCGCGTGAAATGATAATCACTAAATTAGGTTGCGGGTTGGGAATTCACTACAATCCGTTATTTCACTGATTTCTCAAATGAATGTTTACCAAATTGCAATTAATAGCACAACGTTACTTTGAAAACTAGCAAGCAAGCAAGATTCAAAGAAAGGGAGGGAGGGAAGAAAGGAAAAATATTCACATTACAGTAGGCTTACAAACTTTCTTTTGAGTCTTCTTCCATATAAATGCTTCTCTCATCATATTTAAGATTATGCAATGTTTTGAGAGTGCAGCATGCCCAAGATTTAAAATCAAATTGTAATTTTGATGATGAAAAGGAGGTGGATTTTAAACTTTATACAGTCGAGACTAACGGCTTACAGTAGTGACATGATCCTGGCCTTGAAAGTTTTAGGTGTGTCCATGCACTTCCACAATGTCTGGTGGTAAAGTGTTCCAGTCTTGCACCGTTCTTGGAAAGAATGACATTTTCCTCGATGTGGGAAGCTGATATTTGGAATGCTCTGCTGTGCACTTGTCTTGAGCGTCAGTTTGCATTGGTGGTATTTTAACCGGTTGCCTTTGTTGATAGCAACTATCTGTGACGTCTGTCGATTTTATAGAGCATTGTTAGTCTAGCATCTTTTCTTCTAGTTTGAGTCCAGTTGAAATTTAAAAAATTTGGAATATTTTACAAACAAAATGGGACATCACTTCTTCTCTACATGGAAATGATTGATAAAAGGTATCAATGTCTCTCAAACAATGGTTCTTTTAGAACTTATTGAAGGATATATATATAGACAGTGTCTTTAACAATTATCACTGTCTAGATTTGTAAAATTATATACAGTCAGTAGATATCCTCATCATGAATGATGAGAAATTTTGTCAAAATAAGATTTATCATTGATCAGTTTGACAAAGTTTAAGCTTGTCGCTGATTTATCTTTACACTAGAAGTATACATGCCCCCTAATGTACATGTAATCACCAAATCACATGACTTTTAATCCTGAAACTTTCATCTCACGATTAGAGATGACATATTCAAGATTTTTTGGCACCTGAAAATAGGATGTTTTAGTACTGTACTCTCAATTTGGTAAAAAGCAAAGTTTTCCATTGAAGGAGGGCCTTCTAGAGTATATATATATATACATTGTACACTCCTTACAGCACGGACATGAGTAAACAATCATCACCATTGCCTCATTCAAGTTCATTGAGTATTATTGAGTATTTGGTTCATCATTGTTATTCCACACAAGGACTTGAGCAAGGCTATTTCTACATTATATATATATCGACAAGGTCCTTTTTATCTTCTTTGTTTCAAGTTGGCTCACTGCAAAGTGATTCTTTTTCAACCAAATGAAAATAAGTTTTTGCAGCCAGCATCTTTTTTTTAAATATATAACACACATTAGCACACAGGTATCATTAGACACTTGAGAGTATGTTTTTGATTCCCCAAAATGGGCAATATTAAATCTGAAACTGCTAAATGTCAAGGGGTCAACTTAAAGCCTGTTAGCATATATATATATAGTTAAGAAATAACATTGTTTAGAACAAAACAGAAGTTCTGGAATAGATAAAAAAAAATATATAGTTTCATGATCACATCATTCACATTCCTAGCTACCCATGCTCATATCCACAAAAACACTCTGCACCTACTATACAACATTCTGCAAAATCCAGAGTCTATGGAATTCTGGATTGCCGAACGACAACTTGCAACAAAGAGCAAACAGGAAAAGAGCTTCTTCTGAAATGTGAGACGACTACTTGCACAATACAATCTACCTGCAGCGTATGACCTCATGAATGATCTACCGGAGAAGACATCATGGAAAACCCAGCTAAGGAATACAATACATTCCTAGGTTGAAGACCAGTGGAAAGGTGATATCAAACAGAAAAACAGCCTCAAATACCTCAACCAGGAAGCAATCAAAGTTGGCTCAGCCCATAACATTTACACAACAGTTAGAGGAAATAACATTGATGTATGGCACGCTGAGATAAAAGCTAAATTGCTCACTGGAATATACACAATGCAGTCGAATAGAGCTGTCTTCAACCAACATGCTGTTGATCCAACCTGTAAAATCTGTAAGGCAGAACCAGAGACCAGGAAACATTTTATCAGTAATTACATCCATACAAAGCCTCAGAGAGACATATATAAGGCAAAACTGAGCAACATTTTTGCAAGATATACTAACAACTCCAGTGATTAGCTATTAAGTGATCAAGGAACTTTTACCCAGATTATACTTGACTGTTCAGCTATCTGGTTCGGAACTCAATCTTTTTCTCATGATGACATAGAGAAGATTGAGTTGTTATCCAGACAGTTCATCTGGAAGATACACTGAACAAGGAGTAGAGAGTTGGCAAACAGCAACCTGTGAATACACTGTTTTCTCTAAACTATTTTTTTCTTTCTGTATACCATTTTAGCACTATCTGCCACCTGACATTGTTAGACTACCAAGTGTAATATTTGAATCACGTGACTTTGATTCGGAAGTGCCTCCAACTTATACCAGTGACTAATGTAATCCGTGGGTGCTCTAGATCTGCAAACCAATCGGAGGAATCTACCAACAACAGAACAGAACATACCTCAAAAGTGTATCAGAAATTTAGGATCATAATATTGTTATGCAAAAGACAAAGTCACAATATACAATTTATTGAAAATCTTTTAACTCTATGGATTTTCTGAATTTGTCATTATAAGAGGTACATCTGTATAATGTACTGTTCACAAGATGCATATGAGGTTTGGTGGCTTTGTATTGTTAATGATACCTTATTGCATTGTACTTTTTTTTTTACTAAATGTATAATATCATTCAATGATTGATACAGTTTTAATATTTTCAGAACAAAAATTGTCAAAGATGAAGACTTGACGGCCAGGTTTCTACCAGACAGAGAGATGTTCCACGGTGCCCACCTACGGATGAGAAGGGGGAATCAACCCTCGACCTTCCATTCTTTTTTTGGATCGGTATACACCGGCAATAAGCAACCATTCCGTAGAGGGATCATGTTTGTCTTTATAGCCGGTGTTCTTATACTTGTAGGAGGCATTCTTACATGGCTGGGTACGTATTAATGGTGTTGGGAATCGGTGAAATTGTTTATACTCAATCAATGGATACCATTAAATAGCCGATGATCAATTGATAATCATTTTAAAGAAATCCATTGTGAAATCCTCTATGCTATTCTTGCGAGTCACTTGTGTGAATAAAGGAAAACAATTCTCGCTACTTGCTCAGACAGATATACCACTTGATACCCTTTTAAATTTCTTAGAGTCTTTTCCTTAAGACCATCAAAACAAAAAACACTGGAAAATTCGGTTGATATTATGAACAGTTAAATGACCCTTTGTCTATATTGAAGCATCAAGTATGCTAGATAAAACTGACTCCACAAACTAAGATTTTAGGTGTTGTAACAATACACTTGTATCTTCCTAACAACTTACAAAATATATGTCAAGCAAAGACTTTACTGCCTGTTAAAAACACATACTGTATTACAGTATTTGTCCTGCAATAAGCCCAGGGAGCCAACACATAATCGCTGACTGAAAGTAAGGGGTGGGCTTATCACAGGACAATGAAAAAGCATTTGTTGGTATTTCTTCATAAATGCAGCATATAATTGGGGGCTCATTAGCAAGCATGGACTTATATTGTGGGATAAATACTGTACTTTAAGATTTAATTTTTACTGGGACACATTTGAACTCTTTCAGTTCAAAGGTTGGAATAGTTCATTATGATATTTCAGGGGTGAATGAGTTAAATAACCTGAGAACAATTTTTTATTTTTTAACAAATTTAGGATATAGCAATGTATTTGGAAACAGTCGGATCTCCACCATGGGACCTCTGCTGATCGCACTGGCTCTGCTTATGTTCCTGATTGCTATTCGACAGTTTCTTCTTGCTAAAAAGCAGACTCTGCATAACAGGGGACGACTGGAGGTAGGTGTTGTTGCTATATATACTGTGGTATCAGGACTAGAATTATTCCTGGTAATACGTCGATGTAATATATATATGCATTCCATATATATATATATTTATGTATTTAGGTCCAAGTACTCATGGCATAATTTGCCACTTTGATCATGTGAAAGGTGATGTGTCGCTAACAATTACAACATCCAAGATCCCTTTAGGAGAAGTAGCGCACTCCTAGTGTTGATGTCATTGTTATAGTCACTGGTATTTTTTTCATCGTCATATTTTATAATCTATATCGTTGACCTGAAACATGAGAACGATAACCCTAGAATGACTTGTTCCTGCGCACCCCCTTTTTTTGACATGACAATATTTACCTAAATAAAGTGTGCACTATACACGCAAATTTACGGTTTACATTGTATAATAAACAATGTTTTTTTCCTGATGAAAGAATTGATATAAAATAAAAAATAAACATCAAGATAATTCACACAAGCACATTCTTTATTGATCTTAGTTACATATTCTTTTCGCTTTTGGTAGATAGAAGTGAAATTGCAGATTTAGTTGGATTTTTTTTTATTGTGATTCATTAATATTTATTTAAGATATTATATGTAAGAATAAATCATTCATTTTAAAAGCAATTAGCTGGTGGAACTGTAGCAGCCGTGGTCATCAACAGCGATGAAATGGATGATACAGTTACAGTAATAATGGACACACTGAACGACTCGCCAGAGGTCTGTAGGTATGTATCATAAACGAGGGACAAACAGGGGAGATAACCATGTACCACTCAGAATAAACAAGAGAGATAACCATGTACAACTTTGAAAATACCCAGAGGTCAACAGATATGTATCATAAACAGGGGAGATAACCATTTACCACTCAGAATAAACAAGGGAGATAACCATGTACCACTCAGAAAATACCCAGAGGTCAATAGACATGTGGCCTCAGACAACAATTAATTCTACTATATGTTATACCAAAGGAAATAAATTATTAAAATATTTTAAAACTTTGCACAGGGCCTGGTTCCTATTTCATATTGTAGATCTATTCAAACTGAATGTACGGTGAGCTGGAAAGTACCTCATGACCGGCATTTAAGAAAGATAATTTTATTTGAATGTCACTACCCTGCATGTAAAGGGGAAAATACTAAAAATCACAAAATATCACTGCGCAAGCCTCATCACTCATTGTGTCCTGCTGCCAAGACAAACTTGGAAACTGTGTCAAATAAAATTTAATCACTAGAATAGATATTGTTGAACAATTCTATGTAAAAAAAATGTACATATCTGTCATAATTCAGACAGGAAAAATTATTTAGTAACCCACCTGAAATGTCCTTATGCACTACATTCGTGTACAACGACCCGGAAGTGTTATTGTGGTCTGAGGCCATGTATCATAAACAGGGGAGATAACCATGTACCACTCCGAAAATACCCAAGGTGGCAGAGTACAGTAGAAATGGCTTGACCCTAAAAATAAAGGGCATCTCTCGGATAAACATGGATAGCGGATTCATCCTGCACAACACACCTACATATATATATATATTTATAAACTACATGTTTAATAGGTGTTTTTTAGAAGAACATTTTTTTTTTCAAAAAGCAATTTCCCCAGATTTGGGACTTCTGAAAACCATGGTTACCATATCAAAAAACACCAAAATATGCAAAAAATCATGATTTTTAACCCAGAATTTGACCCCCGCAAGTAGAATTGTTTTTCTTAAAACCTGTCTGAAATTAAATATCGCCTACTCGGTAACAGAAATACTCACGTTTTAGCATAGGTCATTCCGGTGGATTTTTCACAATATTTACACATGTGCTGAGTACAAAAATAGACTACCTGAAAAGCTAGCTTTTGTTGTGTAGACACAGATTCGTAAATGCCCAAAATTGTAGTCTCAAACCAAATTCGACTTTTCTTTTTTTTAAATTATGAAGCCCACATAGTCCACTTCATCATGTATATGCCAATTTTAGTGCTGATTTTTTTTTTAAATTTTGATACATGTTATATTACAGGGGTTATTCATTGTATAAAAATATCACCCATGGCCACCGTACGCTACTGTACTCTGCTACCTTATACATCCCTTTTTTTCCCCAAAAATTCAATCAAAACCTTTTAAATGTCTGGAAAATGACACAATGAACAAAAAGATGTATCCGTTTCCTTTCTCACTTTAAAAGTGACCGAGTAATATGAATTCTCCTGCTAGGTGATTTTTTACCAATTCTGCTCTCAAACTACCAACAAAGGGAGGTAATCTGAAAAATTAAAACTTGAATAACTTTGTAGTTTTCAGGAATAATTTTTTTTTTGGGGTAAAATATGATGCTTTAAGATCATGTGCATGTGAAAAACAAAACAGAACAGTGATACAAGGATGTTTCTGTCTTGTGTGATGACGTCATAGTTACTGTGATGTCATCATAACTATGACGTCATCAATGGGCATATGTGACATCATCAAGGCTCACTGATATCAAAATGAATACCAGGAAACCCATCACAACAACAAACTAGAAACAGACACACTTCCCGTAACCGATGAACAGCACAAAACTGTCAGATATTCTGAAACATCAGACAAATGACACCATAGCAACCGTTGTTTACTTTCCTCGCCTAGAATTGACAGTGACCCCAGACATTGGTCATTTTACATATTTCACTAGAAAAAAAAGTTTTCTTCAGCTGTAATTATGGAAATAAAATTTATTGACATTATTGACTTTGTTAATTTAATCTGTAAGCTGAATCAAGTGGAAAAAAACATATAAAATAGTGTAATTAGAATGAAAACAGATATTTTACCCATTTTCAATAAATACAACTTTATGTGTTAGTTACCATGGATACCGGGTGCTGAACTAAGTGAAACAGACTGAAATCTGGTCTGAATGCATCAGGAGATAGCCTGTTAATTATTTGTTGTTTGGTATCAACTTTACCAATTACACAATTGACACATATGTGATGAAGTGTGAAGTGCCTGTGAAAAGGGCGAGTTAACCCCTCTTTATACATTCACAGGTAATAGGCTAGTGACCTATATATTGACCTTTATATGTAACTTTTTAAACGTTTTGAGTAGTTTTAAGCAATAATGAATGAAAGTGAAGCTGAATAAAGCATAAAAAGGCTTTTTTTCAGAAAAAATCAATGTCTGTGTGTATAAGGTGGCAGAGTACAGTAGAAATGGCTTGACCCTAAAAATAAAGGGCATCTCTCGGATAAACATGGATAGCGGATTCATCCTGCACAACACACCTACATATATATATATATTTATAAACTACATGTTTAATAGGTGTTTTTTAGAAGAACATTTTTTTTTTCAAAAAGCAATTTCCCCAGATTTGGGACTTCTGAAAACCATGGTTACCACATCAAAAAACACCAAAATATGCAAAAAATCATGATTTTTAACCCAGAATTTGACCCCCGCAAGTAGAATTGTTTTTCTTAAAACCTGTCTGAAATTAAATATCGCCTACTCGGTAACAGAAATACTCACGTTTTAGCATAGGTCATTCCGGTGGATTTTTCACAATATTTACACATGTGCTGAGTACAAAAATAGACTACCTGAAAAGCTAGCTTTTGTTGTGTAGACACAGATTCGTAAATGCCCAAAATTGTAGTCTCAAACCAAATTCGACTTTTCTTTTTTTTAAATTATGAAGCCCACATAGTCCACTTCATCATGTATATGCCAATTTTAGTGCTGATTTTTTTTTTAAATTTTGATACATGTTATATTACAGGGGTTATTCATTGTATAAAAATATCACCCATGGCCACCGTACGCTACTGTACTCTGCTACCCAAGGGTCAACAGATATGTATCATAAATAGGGGAGGTAACCATGTACCACTCAGAAAATACCAAGAGGTCAATAGGTATGTATCATAAATAGGGGAGGTAACCATGTACCACTCAGAAAATACCAAGAGGTCAATCGATATGTATCATAAATAGGGGAGGTAACCATGTACCACTCAGAAAACACCCAGAGGTCAATAGGTAGGTATCCTAAACAGGGGAGGTAAATCCAGTTCCATTTAGAAAATAAGAAGATGTCAACAGGTACCAGTATATATTATAAACAGGGGAGATAACCTTGTTCCACTCAGAAAATACCCAGAAGTCAACAGGTAAGTATCACATGCAAGGCAGGTAGTGATGTACCACTGATCGATTCCCCAGAGGCTGTTGGGCATGTACAGAATGTATCACAAACTTTGGAGGTATCAATGTACCACCTCCTCAGAGGTTATCAGCTTCGTATCACAAACAGAATGATTTCGCAAATAATTTCACAAATATCATGACCCATTGGAAAGTAGTGGGTAGCATTTCGATAAAGAGAGAGTATACAAATGTAGTCTTTTTATGTGTGTAGGGTGGGGGGGATATGTTCTTTCATCAATGTCCCCCAGTCTATAATCCTTCATTACTGCAGCTAATTAAAGGAAAGTTAATTGCCTTTAGCTTGTCACCAATTATGATCACATGCTTTCTTTTATGTGTGAAAATAATCGTTAAATCAACACTACTGTGGGAACCTCCATGTAATTCCAGTTTAGGATGTGTTTAACCTTAATCTGTTGTTATACAGACCCCATGGAGAAAGCCAGCCCCCCTCCTACCAGGAGGCCACAGATACACCTGTGATTCTTTTGGCCCCTTCGGCACCCGACTATCACTCGGACCCACCCCCTTCCTATGAAGAGGCCATAACAGACTCAGTGCCAGGAATTGGAGGTTCAGTGCCAGTTATCAAATGAGGCATTCTCGGAGCAGCTGGAATAATCTATCACCTGGTACTTTATCAACAGAGAGGAGTAAACATAAATTATTCACTGGTTTAAGGTCATTACTCTTGCAAACCTGGCATGCTATTTCTCAAAATTAAAACCTTCCTTTTTTTTTAGGTGCATTTTTCCATGAGATATTGTATGTCCCCGCATTTTCCTCGACTAACCAGAACAAATGTGAAATTTTATTTATTTTCTCAATATTGAACAAATTCTTTACATGCGCGATACTATCGTCTCTACTTTTGACAGTGATGTCATGAAAAGTATTATCATTCAAACTTTACATAGTAGTGAACTGTTAGCATATCAATAAAAAAAACATATCTGAAAATTAGACAGCACATGTATTTAATCCAATTATATACTAATTTGGAAATATAATTTTGAAGAACAATGACCAAAACCTTATCCTTATGAGACTGAAGTCTTTTTTTTGAGCATTACACTTTTTTATTTTTTGACAAATATTCTCTAGTCTAGTAAGTTTTCATTCAATCTAAAAGTTTGAAACTTATATTAATTAATAACCATCATCTGTATACATGGATATCAAGTATGCCGTTCCAGTTTTCAATGGAAGTGTAAAAATCTTTATAAGAGAGAATGCAATGAAAAGTATTTGTTATCAATATTGAATATGAAACGAGATTTCAGCTTCTGATAATTACTAGTATATTTTCGGCCCCAGTTTCATCTGCTGGAAATCTTTGAGTTTTTTTGTAGATTTCATAACTAAGGATTTTCCTTAACTCCAGTAACGATTTTCTATGGAAACAATTTATTTTTGAATTTAGGAACATTTGTGAAATTGGCGGCTAGTGGCATGAAGTTATAAGTGTTATTGATATATAATTTAATTTAGGATTTTACTTCTGGTACTGTCAGCTAAATATTACATTCAGTAATTTATATCAAATAGATAATGTGTTATTGTTTAGGCAAGTCTGTCTGAACAGTAAAAAAAAAGATGTTTGAGTATCAGTTTCTGAATACCTGTGTAATGTGCTTGTGTAATGGACCAGTTTAACAGTTTAACATTCACCGGTTGTTAATGTGTGCCTAACTTCTCTGTGATGGAATTCCATTCATTTCCACATGTTTATTTATTTTCTGTGTTGTCCTTATTTATTTAAACCACTTGTTATTGTTTGATGTATTTGAGCAATCATTGATTTTAACATATACCATGAACCATGCTCCTGTTGGTTGTTTTTAAACATTTCTATAACTGCCTTTGTGTATATAAATACAGTAAACATACATATTTCAGTGGACTCCAATTTTAGCATATTATCAAATTTTAACAAGTTATGGTATCGAGGAATTAGGGCACTCACAATTTATGCAATAGAAAATTATGTACAGAAAAAAATCTGATCAATGCAATCATATTATACCGGGGTAAAGCAATAATAAAAGCATCAACTGTGCTAAGATTAGAATGCGCTTAAATATGTACGTTAAAAGTATAAAGCCCGTCCATCCCTGGTTTTCTCTCCTCTTTAATTAAAGTGTTTTTTTTCTTATGATGTTTCCTCTTACATAAACAAATTTTACATTTTTTTTCCACCAATTTTACAATTGCATTCAATACATTCAGGGATCTTCAATGATAAAATGAACCTATTTAATTTCATTGTGTATTATTGCCTTTGTGCAAAACTATGCTGTCTATTGATTTGATGTGTGTATTAGCTAGTTTGTAGAGACACTAGCTAGCTATATAAACACTAGCTCATTACAGGTACACTAGCTCATAACAGGTACACTAGCTCATTACAGATACTAGCTCATTACAGGTAAACTAGCTCATTACAGGTACACTAGCTCATTACAGGTACACTAGCTCATTACATGTACACTAGCTCATTACAGGTACACTAGCTCATTACAGGTACACTATAGCTCATTACAGGTACACTAGCTCATTACAGGTACTAGCTCATTACAGGTACACTAGCTCATTACATGTACACTAGCTCATCACAGGTACACTAGCTCATTACAGGTACTCGCTCATTACAGGTACACTAGCTCATAACAGGTACACTAGCTCATTACAGGTACACTAGCTCATTACAGGTACACCAGTTCATTACAGGTACACTATAGCTCATTACAGGTACACTAGCTACTTGGACTTCTTATATTATAGAGCCCAAAATTGTAAAGACATTATCTAGTAGCAAGTTGAAGTTACATCAACTAGTTGTAAAGGCACTAGTTAGTTGTAGCTACATTGACTAGTTGTAAAGGCAATAGTTAGTTGTAGTTACATCAACTAGTTTTAAAGGCATTAGTTAGTTGTAGCTACATTGACTAGTTTTAAAGGATCTAGTTAGTTGTAGCTACATTGACTAGTTGTAAAGGCACTAGTAAGTTGTAGCTACATTGACTAGTTGTAAAGGCAATAGTAAGTTGTAGTTACATCAACTAGTTTTAAAGGCACTAGTTAGTTGTAGCTACATTGACTAGTTGTAAAGGCACTAGTTAGTTGTAGCTATATTGACTAGTTGTAAAGGCAATAGTTAGTTGTAGTTACGTCAGCTAGTTTTAAAGGCACTAGTTAGTTGTAGCTACATTGACTAGTTTAAAAGGAACTAGTTAGTTGTAGCTACATTGACTAGTTGTAAAGGCACTAGTTAGTTGTAGTTACATCGACTAGTTATAAAGGCACTAGTTAGTTGAAGCTACATTGACTAGTTGTAAAGGCACTTGTTAGTTGTAGCTACATTGACTAGTTTTAAAGGAACTAGTTAGTTGTAGATACATTGACTAGTTGTAAAGGCACTTGTTAGTTGTAGCTACATTGACTAGTTTGAAAGGAACTAGTTAGTTGTAGCTACATCGACTAGTTGTAAAGGCACTAGTTAGTTATAGCTACATTGACTAGTTGTAAATGCACTAGTTAGTTGTAGCTACATTGTCTAGTTGTAAAGGCACTAGTTAGTTATAGCTACATTGACTAGTTGTAAAGGCACTAGTTAGTTGTAGTTACAACAACTAGTTATAAAGGCACTAGTTAGTTGTAGCTACATTGACTAGTTGTAAAGGCACTAGTTAGTTGTAGTTACAACAACTAGTTATAAAGGCACTAGTTAGTTGAAGCTACATTGACTAGTTGTAAAGGAACTAGTTAGTTGTAGTTACATTGACTAGCTGTAAAGGCACTAGTTAGATGTAGTTACATCAACTAGTTTTAAAGGCACTAGTTAGTTGTAGCTACAATGACTAGTTTTAAAGGCACTAGTTAGTTGTAGCTACATCAACTGGTTTTAAAGGCACTAGTTAGTTGTAGCTACAATGATTAGTTTTAAAGGCACTAGTTAGTTGTAGTTACATCAACTAGTTTTAAAGGAACTAGTTAGTTGTAGCTACATTGACTAGTGGTAAAGGCACTAGTTAGTTGTAGCTACATCAACTGGTTTTAAAGGCACTAGTTAGTTGTAGCTACATTGACTAGTTTTAAAGGATCTAGTTAGTTGTAGCTACATTGACTAGTTTTAAAGGATCTAGTTAGTTGTAGCTACATTGACTAGTTTAAAAGGAACTAGTGAGTTGTAGCTACATTGACTAGTTGTAAAGGCACTAGTTAGTTGGAGTGAGATTGACTACCGGGTAGTTGTAAATATACTAGTTGCAATTGGTTGTAGCTACATTGACTAGTTGTGGAGACAAAGCTTCTAAATGCATCACTAAATGTAGATCTAGACATACTGATTAGTTGTACAATAATAAGTTGTAGCTAGAACGAATTGTTGTAGAGAAACAGCTAGATACATTAGCTAGGTGTAAACACACTGGCTAAAAGCAAGTTGTAGTTACATTAGCTAGGTGTAAACACACTGGCTAAAAGCAAGTTGTAGCTACATTAGCTAGGTGTAAACACACTGGCTAAATACAAGTTGTAGCTACACTAGCTAGTTGTAAACACACTGGTAGCTACATTGACTAGTTGTGGAGACAAAGCTTCTAAATGCATCACTAAATGTAGATCTAGACATACTGATTAGTTGTACAATAATAAGTTGTAGCTAGAACGAATTGTTGTAGAGAAACAGCTAGATTCATTAGCTAGGTGTAAACACACTGGCTACATACAAGTTGTAGCTACATTAGCTAGGTGTAAACACACTGCCTAAATACAAGTTATAGCTACATTAGCTAGGTGTAAACACACTGGCTAAATACAAGTTATAGCCACATTAGCTATCAGATGGTTAGTTGTAGGGACATTGAATTGCCTAGTTTAAGATCTATATAGGTACTGGCAGTTGTAAAGACTCTGGCTAGTGGTAAAAACATAAGCTCTTTGTAAAGTCAGAGTGAGTTGTACAAGCTGGTCTTGTTACACTAGATATAGATCAAGAAATAGGCTGGTCATAGAAATGGTATTTCTGCAACTAAACATTGACGAGTTGTAAAATTTCTACTATTAGATGACTCACTCCAACAGAGTTTTAGCACCTGTATATTGACGGTGTCGATCTGATTTAAAGCATTATTTTCTATCTACCTGAAAGAAATGCATGTTCATGTAATATTGGTAACAGCAGTGTCCTTGACTGAGTTTGAGAATTATTTGAAAGTTTGACCAAAAATTATCATTTAGGAATGAAAAAAAAATCAACTTTTTACCTCGTCCTGTCCATTTCCAATGTAAAGACCTATTTTTCATTGCTCAGTTTAAATTTCTGCCTGTTTTATTTATTGCTTCTCCAGTATTCCTGTTTTGGATGTGTTCATGTGGTTACCCAAACTTTCCACTTTACATACAGTTCTGATAATTTACACTAGTAAGATAGATATTGTTGACCATGAGGTTTTTTTACATACCTAATCTTCAATTTTTTTCCCTATGATACTAAATATAATGAGAGTCTAATTTTGCATATCAGTCGAGAGGCTTAGTATTGATAAATATTTTCTTTATTGAAAGCGTGTTTAAATAATTTATTTTCTGAAATTGCAAGTCCGCTATAGAAGTGAGAAGCAATAAGGGTATTGAGATAGTGTTATATATTCTTTTATAGATATGAACTATTTTCATATTAATGTAATGTTGTTCATGACTCGTTGAATCCAGTAGGACCTGTGGAAGAACCCTTTAAGAAAAGTAAATGGATTCTTCTTTAGATTCTAAACTACATGAACACCTATAGCTACTGTACGTATATTTCGTGTCAGAATAAGCAGGTTTTCAAACAATACAGGTTTGATTGACGTAGATTTCATATTTATCCAGGTGGAACGGCTATAATTTGGCGTCGTTTGAGTGTCTAGATTGTTCATGGAACAGCTAGGCAACAGTTGTAAAGGAAGATATGGCTTTTGAAATTCTGTTGGGATTAGAAATTATTTACAGTGTACAAGGTAGTTGCATATCTTAAATTGATCTGAGAACCTGTTTTAAGATGCACTGGCTACTCATTAAATTGTAGACTGATAACGGGTCATTGCAAGTCCCATTAATGTTGGACTGTACATATTTGAAGTAGAGTCTTCAAAAACTGTAGGTTCTTTGGAATTCGTAGGTCATAATTATCCAGTTTTATGGGGTAAGTTAAAACTTAGTTGTTACCCCACTGTTTTTACAACTAATATATATAAACAGAATCTTAATGTATGAATGTATATGTATTTCAAATATTTTGAAAAATCACTTTTCTGAAAATATCCAACTTTTTATGTGAAGATTATTGTAATCCATATTTCATCTCACAAGTTTTGTAACCATTTGTATTTTTGTTTTCTGTATTTTTTTCCTTGCATGTTATTTTTAAACTTTAAGTTTATCTGTGATACATGTTAACACCCAGAAAGTGCAATATGAATTTTGAGACCAGGAGACAACTTTATATAAGCAGTTTGTTTCCAAAACCCTTTTGTTAGTATTATAAATGTTGTTTGTCAATGTAGAGAAAACAATTCACATAAAATAGTGTTTATCTATTTAGCTATCTTAAATGATATGAAAAGTGTAATATAAGAAGAAACTGAAGCATTTATCGTTTTTGTGTTTGTCATTTTACTAAAAAAAAATTTTTGAGTGAAAGTGTTGATGTTTCCTAAAGATGACAGAAACACAAGTGACGAAGAAATACAATTTTAGGACTCGTGCCCTGTCCAGGTCTTGACCTTGTGACCTACAGCACCGAATCATCGCCTAGCCTAGAAATACCGGCAGCTCCAGATAGCTCACATCACCAATAGACATTTTGTCACTGTGATCATGTCGGGAGTATCGGGCTGTTGACCACTGCAACATCGAAATCTTCTTTTTTAAGAATGTGAGGTGGCGTAGTACTAGGAGCTACAGGTATTTCTAGGCCAGGCGATTGGGTGTCGTAGATCGTGACTTTGAGGCCCGTACAGTGGAATTTGAATGAGTCATAAAACTGTCCCCTTCGGCACTCATTTATTCAACTAATAAACACAATGTATCATATGCACTGGTGTATATTGATCTGAAGGTTTAAGCTATGAACTGCCTGTCATAATTGTACAGTGTCTATTATGTACATATTGATTGATATATACATATATATTTATACCGTACCAATCAGTAGAGTGTTGTCTTTATTTTGTAGATTTGTGTGTGACTGTGAAAATATTTGATTTACCTATACAATGTATATACATCCAGTTAATATCACATTTTCATCTGATAAATCAGAAGTGATAATAAGCGAAATCTACTGTACTTATACATGTGCATGAACACTAAATTGGATTATTTTTTTGTCTGGACAATTTTTTTTAGTGCCAGCAGAAACAAGTGTTTTTAGTAACATGACATTTTTTGTGCCTCTAGCAGGTTTTTAATATATTTAATAAATAAGATTTTATCAGCAATGTTGATTATAAATCACTGTAAGATTTTTCTCTCTGATCTTATAATGTTCCTCCTATGCTAAAAAGATGAAATTCCTAATCTTTAGAGTTTTAAAATGAAAAATTAGATTGTCTGAGAGAAACGCCAATTGGCCAAGTATGCCAGCAAGTAATTTCTGACTTGAATAAGAGGGTGGGCTTATTACAGAACTTGGCCCGAAATAACTTAAACTGTTGATGGGCTGTAAACCAGCACAAAAACATCCTATTACAGGTCAATGATTGAAATGGCATTAGTTAGATTTTAAACTGAACTGCAGTAGATATGAGCGGGCATATTACTAGACATGGGCTTATAGCCAGATGAATACATCAGTATACATATAAATGCATCACAAGTTTTGTAATCATTCAAGCACACCAAGCTTTCAAAGTTCAGTTGTACTGTATCACGTTGAGAGTTAAATTAGTTTTCACATATAATTATTTTTTTTGCAATTAAGCTTCAAAGGACTTATTCTTGAGTATAGGAATTTGCAAAAACAAAACTAGTGTACAATCTTTTATTAAAGCATGTCCAAATAAATATTTGCAAGATTCAAACCGCATTTTACTCTCCTTATGATTTTTGGCAAAAATTGACTAGCGTAATGCTTGTGATTTACAAAAGACTGCAAGAAGGACATCTTAAATATGTAAAGTGATGTTGATTCCACTGAAATAATGAGGGTTAACCTGCATTGCCTCGACTAAGATCGTACTGGTCCCTGTAAATGGACTTAATTATATCAGTATCGTATTTTAACACTTTTAGCATACTGTTTGTTGTCAACTTTGTAATGTATCTCATTAAAACACTAACATTTCATTCAATTATATCGCCTGCCCCAGTTGTTCAGAACAATTTTTATAACTTATTGTTCAAAAATGGATTTATTTTTTCTTTGTGTGTGTATTTTTTTATAGCATTAATTTACACAAAAAAATGTGGTCTCTTCTTATATTAAGATGATCCTTTGAATTCCTATATTTTGAATTTTTTCAAATATTTTTAAAAATGCTACTGTATGTAAAATATAATTTGTTCAGATTAAAAGTAACATGTGATAGAGTTATCTCCCTTAATTTTTATTTATGACACCTTCTGCCCCTTTTTGAAATTTAAAGTATTGTCTAAATATTACAAATACATGTATTTTTGTGTATTTTCTATAAAAATGTGCCATCTTTTTGTTATAATTAGTCTCGGTTCTGATTATAATATTAAGAGATATTTTAGCAGTGAACTCTCTAGAATAGAGATGCAAGTCACAGTAAGGTGGCATATGTCCCTAACATTAAGTGAATCAAGCTGGGAACAAATGTGTCTGTCTTAAGTAGCATAATAATCGAGTATGCTTTGACAGTATTGCTACCTTAGCGGTATACAGGGGCACTGTAAAATATAAACCCTTTTATGAGTGCAATATACAAAGTCTATATAAATTTAATGTTACACATGTATTGAAGTCTTTTTATACTATACAACATCTTCTAGTCAGGGTAAAAACATTGTACCTAAATTTTTGTGTAAAATAAGGAAATATTTTCATTTGCTGTTTTGTTAATGTAAATTTCAGCTGTTAGTGACTATATAGTTGTTTGTCAATAACTGTGGTAGTGATTTCCATGACGTGACATTAGTTTACCGAGAAATCGCGATAATGGTTTAAAAATAACTACAGCAGTGGCTTATACCGTTACCATTGCAACCAAGGTTTACACGGTAACCATGGAAACCAAGGTGTACACGGTAACCATGGAAACCAAGGTGTACAAGGTAATATGTTCTGCGTCTGTCAAACTATTACTGACAGTGTGATCGAGGGGAGAGAACTCTGACAGATAAGGATTTGAAATAAACAGGAAAATAGCTTAATTATGATATCATCAAATAAGTGAATATTGGATAGTTTAATAAGGGCAGTGGTTCCCCATCCAGTGAACTGTTCATGTAGCAACAGTTTATTGTAAGCACTACGTTTTTATATGATTATTAGAAAGTGTGATGTGATTTTTAGGAAATAGTTCTCATAAAAATCTTTAAAAATCTTCAAATCATATTTTGATTAAATGGTATATTTCTCAAATGTGAAGTAACCATCAAATCACATTTTGGTTTGATATAGTGAACGAGTTGCAGAAAATCCATATATAAACATCTGAGAAGAATGTTGAAATATAAAAATGTTTCACATAAGAATGTTGATGGAGTTGAGAAGAATTTTAGTAATATTGGGTTGAGGTTTAAATACGCAAGGTGACGGGGTTACTGTAGTTCTTAACAAAGTGGTTTTACACCAGTAGACTATTGTGAACAGATTTTTAAATAACAATTTTTCACAGAATAGTGAATTTGTTTAATGTTTCTCATATACCATCATCATTCTCTGTTTTTCTTTCAAATTGAGAAAAGCTGCTAGCAGTTTATCAAATTTGATCTTGTACATTGTTTGTACCTAATGTCAATAAGCTTTAATATTTTCTACTCTTTTTTATGATATCTTTGTATATATGTGAATGAACATGTGTGATCTTCATAGACACAACTGTAGCTAGCCGGAGTTTCCTCTGGTCCTAACACCAGACTTGAGACATTTTGACGTATTCTTGTCTGGTGTGGGGCCCCATACCAGACATTTTTATGTCATATGTCTTAAGTCTGGTGTGAGGGCCAGGGGAAACTCTGGCTAAAATGTAGCCAGCGTGATCTTTGTACAAACTTAACATGTGATCATTATTTACACAAATACAGCATGTGTGATATTTATAGACCCAAATTCATCAAGAAATCATTTTTTTTGCTGATGAAATTTAAATCTTCATTTGACACAATTTCAACTTTTGTGATCTCTAATTTGTGAAAACGAATTGAATGGGCGTGATTGTCATGTGACACAAGCAAATTTTACATGATCTTCCCATACATATACATAGCATGTGATCTTGTGATGTCATAATGCAAAAAAATGTGTGTAGTCTTCATATACATGACATAGTCGTTGTGTAATGATGTTCGACACAGTGATTGCCTGTAATGATGTGACTTTGTGGACACAAACCGAGTGTACTTGTGATTGATGAACTTTGTATCTGAGCCTACATATACAGCTTTGTAAGTTATATTTGTGGATATAAGTTTGGTTGTTGTGGTACATGTATAAGCAGACTGTGTAATTTCTGTGGACACAGACTGAGTGTATGTGATCTTCACAAACTTTTCATGCGTGGTCTATAATTTATAGCAAACCTACTTTATGATCTTTTGATACCAACAACAAAAATAAAGAAAATACAGAAAAAATTGTGTAATTCCTTTTCTTTTTACACAACTGGATCAAAGGGCCTAGCGAACTTATGTCATGGCACCGTTCCGTCTTGCATATATCTGTCTGGGCATTTTTAAAGTCTCTTGCAGGGTAAAGATGTTTATCCTACAATAATTCCTGGTTTGATTTTTAATTTGGAGGTCAGATCAAAGGGGAACGTTGCAAGGTCGCACCGTAAAATGACACATAAAGGCTTGTCTACACACTGCCTCTGGAATGGCTAGATAATGAAAAAAATATTCAGCAATAGATAAGTTAGAAATTGGTTGAAGTCATAGCTGCAAAATAAAGCAAATCTCTACAAAAAAAAAATAGGGTAACCAGGGCAAAGAAGGTTAAGTGATCCCCACACCATGAGTGGCAACCGCCGTCGGGTGATGTCTCCTGTCAAACCGAGGAAAGCATGCCAGTCACCAAAGACGGTGAACATGTCAATTCAAATATTGAGAAAGTGAAACAGCTTCTTGTGCTTGTTTTGGCGCCTATCTCCATGTCTTGTAATGGAAGAATTCCCCTTCAATATTCTGCGCCTTTTTAGGCCGTCCTAATCTCCTGTTCCATTGTAGCGTCGACCATGTCAGCGCAATTCTACAACCATCTTGCGTTGGCTCAATTCTCGGAACACGACAAATCTATCGCCATCTGATCATGAGACACTTCAAGATGTTTTTGATCGAGACCATTTTTACTAGCATGTACACTTCCTTAACTTGATGGTACACCATATTCGGCCAGAACTAGTACTTATATTATATTCTCAGCAGACAATTTTTGGGACAGTTGATATTAAGCTTTTCTCCTTTCTTCTAACTGTTCTTTAAGATCTCTGACTCATATAAGAGTGCTGACAGCACTTTACTCTTACATGTTTAGATCTGTGTCCTTTTGCTCTACCAATATACCCTGTCTCCTGCATATACACACGCAAGCACGCATACACTACACACATGGAGACACGTCATTAAATGACCTTACTTGTTAATAGGACGTTAAACAAAATTAAAACCAAACCAAACCTTCAGGACAGATAGAAGGCCCCTTGCCTTAGCGATACGGATGTTGATACCTGTCAACGATCTCTCTTAGCTGTCAAAAATGGAACCAAGGTACACGAATCTGATCTACAATCTCAAAGTCCTCCTTCTGGAATTTCAGTTGTTGAGTGCTGTCAAGGATGGAGAACATTTATCTAAAATGTGTAAAATTACTCTGAACACGTCAGTTAAGGTTCAAACGTAGCTGTAACAAATCCTTAGGTCCCTGTGGTCGTGCCCTAGTAACAATGCTGCTGACCCGTACGGGTCGCCTTCCTTTGAAGAATCCGATCACATCACGACAATAAGCCTTTGTAATTATATATTTATAATCTGTGCCCGTATTCGTGAAACTGTTCTCATGCTCAAACCCAATTTATTGTTTTTGTGATAAACTGATAAAGAGACACAGTTTAATAATGAATTGGAAGAATTTTACAGAGACTTACTGCTGAATAACGTTTTAAATGCCGCGACGGCCAAGTTATGACTGACATGCGTATATTTGAGGAGGATGTGTGATACAATGTAGCACACAATGAAACAAAAACAAAAACAAGAGAGAGAGAGAGAGAGTCGATTTAGCAAGAAATTGTCCTTTATTTTAAATTTCCAAATCACATTTTCATAATTGTGCAATGTTCTTGCCCTTCATAAATCTGATCCGTTGATACATATTTTTTCCTTTAACGGAGAATAAGAAATTTCTAAATAATGAACATGATATTATAACACCGATAGAATAAACACTGTTTCCTCAAAGATTTATAATAAACAATCAACCTGCTTCCGTCTGCAGCACGGCACTAACAAAGGTCTACACAGAGCAAAAACGAAAACAAGATTGGAATATTTTTTCTTTCACCAAAATAACATGAAAATATATATTTTGCATTACATTTTGATCTTGAAATACTCATATATTTAAAATTCACGTTTAATACTCATTATATAAACCTAAACTAAATTTCAATTGACGTCAATAACTCTATTATCATTTTATTACCCCTAGATGCTCTTTCTTGACCAATTCAAGTAATTGTAATTAAGATACCATTCTACAGAAAACTACCAGCCTCGGTAGATACGTCACATCGTCAATTGGTATCTTTCTTCACGGCGTTTTAAATATTTTGCGTCCAGAAAAATATGACTTCATATTTTGGTCTACTGTCGGCAACAACAGAAAACTCGTCCCCAGAAACCTCCCCGCTGGTCAGGCTTTGTTGGGAGTGACGTCATAACTTCATCTTTTAAGAGTGTCCGACTGGACAGATAACTGTCATCCGTTTGTACGCATGCTTCCGTCATTTTAACCTTTTCAGCATTGAACTGCAAAACAAAATAAAAATAGAAATATGAATAGGAGAATTGATTTTTCTCCTAATTAATTTAAGATTAAAGTGATTAAATAATTACCATGTTTAACTCAACGTTTTCTTTAGCTTACAAAAGGAACTGGTGTAATCCTAATCATTATGTCGTAGAATTCTGAATGTGTAACTCCTACTTACCAATTTCAGTCCGCTGTATAGAGACTTGCGTGGTCGAAAGTGTTGTAAAACTTTATACCAGCGGGACTCTTAAATTAAAAAAAAGTAAGAAAGTTATTCTTCTGATTTCTTTCAAACACAAAATATATTTCTATGCAACATATAAATAAAAGTACAATCAATGTACGTATTGGATTCGTACGTACGATCAGTATATGAAATATTTGACACGTTTTCATTTTGACATGGATCTTTGTATCGTGATCTTCTGTAACTCTATCCGTCAATGTTCTTGCTAACTTAATCCGGTTGACTTATCAAAAATTGATAATTCGATTTGCTTTATATTTCAATAACTTAATGAAATGTTAAGTACACTCACCATTTCCGTACTCTACTTGGCATTCTCGAGCAAAGAGAAAGTCTGACCATTCCGCCGAGCGGGCGTCACTCTTCTTCTTCATCTTCTGGATATCCCGGAAGTTTGGATGAATGGACTCTGTCAGATACAATTGGTTAATTGATTAATAGTTTAAAAAAGAAAACATAAAAGTTCACCGAAATTCATGTGGCTTATTATCAAGGATGTGATGTCAGTTTTATGTATAACAAAATAAGATTTAGCTAACAAAATAGCCTGAATAAATAAGAATTTATCAATTTTATGGGCTATTGCTATGAGATCATCATACACAGTAATATTTATTTTCTTATGATATGATAGCATCTTCGAATGTCCTGTAATTTGTTTGTAAGTTCAACTGATACTTTCGAGATATGCGCATGCTTGTGTGTCAAACATAAATACATGTAATTAATCTCTTCGGGTAGACAAAACGTTAACTTCTATTAAGTTATAGCGTTATTGGTGTGTGTTACTCTTTATCAAACTGTTGTTATATATAAATTCAGGGTTGTTAACCTACCACTGTCAAGAGTTATTTCCACTTTCCTGGGAACTTCACACAGAAACATCTGTGCCTCAGTCTCGTAGATTTCTGTTGATGGCATATTAAACACTGTTGATAAATCTTCAAGAGAACGTATACTAACAGAGAAGGATAAACAAAGCAGTCGCAAAGTTTGGTTGTGATGCACACAAATGCTGACGTCACAATCACAATGACGTCACAATTACACCAAGCACGTGATCAACCAGTTAATGAAAGCATGGCGCCATGGCACATATAAAACAGTTTTTATCTTAAAAAAACTTTGAGTTACCAAACATACATTTCATCAACAGGAGCATCTACTTTAAAGCTAACAGTTCTATTTATGTAATAAGTGGACTGCGAGCCTCACAGCTATCCAGGGATGAACCCATTCTTGTGCAAACTCGTCTAATCTGTAGGATGTCGGTTTGAAAGTTTTTAACACTGGTGGCCTAAATGGGTTTTTTCCCATTAACGTGGACACGCTTACAGTTCCGAAGATGGAAGAACTTAAACTTATTGTTAAAGAAACAAAACCTGATATCACTGCATTAACTAATTTAGATTCTCCCTAAGAACACAATATTCGATCATTGGACAAGAAACTTAAATCTAGAAGGATACAATCAGTTCATCAATAAAGAGCGAGATTTCCGAAGAAGTGTAGCGATCTATATAATGGACAACCTAGACGTCATCAGTTTGGACGATGAGTTGCGTTATTAGGAAGATGTATGGTGCAAAATCACACCTAATAAATCTGATCCTCTTCTATTGGGCTGTGTGAACAGGAGTCCCAACTATGATGGGAAGTATTTTACCCAGCTCAGCGAAATGTTCAGAACGGTTAATGCAACCACCCATTCTCACCTTCTCGTCTCAGATATACTTACAAACGAAGAGAATATGGTTGATAACCTTGTATGAAAAGTAGTATTTGGCCTAGTGACCACCTATCGTTAGTTTTTAAATTCATGTCAGTGGTGTTATCAATTTTTGAAAAGGATAACAAAAAGATGCAGGAAATGACTGGTCCATTAGTATTATATCAATTAGACAGTGTAGGTAAACTGATCCAGCGAATTACTAGAATTATCTATCTTCCATGGAGTAACACGGTTTAAAAGTGGCAAGTCTTGCACTACACAACTACTGGAAACCATAAATGACTGGACAGAAGCTCTCGATCAAAATAAACAAGTTGATGTTATCGGACTATATATGAAGGCTTTTGATAAAGAACTCCATAGAAGAGTATTACATAAAGTAAAGGGATATGGTATTAATGGGGACACATTCGGGTGGATGACATATTTCTTGAGTTACACGAAGTAGAAAGTCGTCATAAACGGATGTAAATCCAGCACGTGTCAAGTCAAAAGTGGAGTTCAACAGGGTAGCGTGCTGGGACCAGTATTGTTTCTCATCTACATAACCTGACAAAAATGTTCGCTGTTGATACCAGGATATATCGTGTAATGGATCCAGGAGTACATGGGTAACATCTACAGGCATATCTGTACCGATTGAACAACTGGACGATGGAGCTAAACTCTGACAAGTGCAAGCATTTGAAATTACATCTCATCAACAGGGAGAAGTACACAACTCAGTTGCGGATCCAAAGAGTTTTTTTGGGCTTCAGGAAACCTCCCAACCCTGAGAATTTTCTTTAAAAATTATGTATTTTCACAATTTTCCTCTAAACAGGTCCCTAATATCAAAGACCTATCCTATTCTGAAAAACTTAAGGCTCTATGGCTACACACTATGGAGTACAGGAGACTTGGTTAGACACGGTGCAAGCTTTCAAGTAAGTAAATGGAATAGATAACATCAAAGCCCCCACC